AAACATTGAAGAAAAAATAAAAGGTCAGGAAGATTATATTGTGTGTTATTTATTTGACAATTGTGTAACAGTATTTGCTTGATAATTTGCATGGCGTGTATCATAAACTTACTTCTTGGAGTTTTCTGTGTCAGCATACTTGTGTATGTCTGCAAAGGCATGGATATCAATTAGGCACGGAAGTTGTGGAGGTATGGATTCTTGGTACTCTTCGGTGTAAGTTTTTGCAACTATCAGCCAATTGTATTTGTAATCACCTGACTTGATACAATGGAACCTCGGGGCGAACCCTTGCTCCAGTGAGGTAGTACCTCTTGTATGGCATAAGAAGTTCCTCAAATTCCTTTATAACTGCGTTATAAGCCACCGCAGATACCTTTGTCAACTGTATACAATATGCATAACAAACCTTTATTTTTTAGTTCTTTTATTGTTGTATTTGTACATGGCAACAGGGAAAAATGACATGTTTATACCTCTTCATCTGTGAACAACTATCTGCGGTAAAGCATAGCAGAATCATTTTTGCTTGTCTGTACAGGTGATCGTTCGACAACCTGAATGAGTGTCAAGTCGACAACCTGAATCATTTATCCCTAGACTTAAACTTTTGACACCATACTAAACTGTTAGGTAAATTTAAGTGTTTCCCAAAAAAAGAGTAATCACCTAACTCAGAAGCTGGGAAAAATTCCAACAGCAATCAAACAAATAGTGGAAATCAATAGACATAGAATGGAAAAGGAAAATAATAATCAAAATAAAACATTAAAACAACAAACTTACCTTGTTCTTTGAATTAGCCGATGTTAGTAATGCAGCATCCCTAGTGGACTCTTTCAACACCTTCCAGAAGAATACATCGCGTAGAGCACGCCGACGAAAACGCTTTACAGAAGAATACATCGCGTACAACACTCGGCGGATTTTTTTTTTTTTTTTCTTTTTTTTTTCCCTTTAACATAAATAGGCCGAGAGCAAAATAAATCAGACAAAGACTACACCGTTTCATCAAAAAATCAAACGTCCTCGTTTAGGTGGCAGAAGACGCAGCCTGTTGTAAACGAGACGCCATGTCCATATGAGAATGCACTTCCAATCTTTTTATTAGTAAAGAGTATATAGATAGATATGGATATGGTGATTTTATATACTAGTCCTTCATGTTTGAGAGTTGTTTGTTAAACCTCAGAAATTCTATGGTGAAAATGTACTTTAGGCTTTTGTGGTCGGTAAAAATCTCACACTTGCCTCCATAGAGGTACTGTCGCCAAATCTTCAAGGCGTGAACGACTGCAGCTAACTCAAGATCGTGAGTGGGGTAGTTCTGCTCGTGAGGCTTCAGCTGCCTCGAAACATAGGCTCGACCCTCCCCTGCTGCATAAGGACACATCTCAAACCCATCTTCGAAGCATCACTATAGATGGTGAACTCCAAAGTAGGGTCGGGAATGGATAGAACGGGCGCGGTAGTGAGTCTCCTCTTCAACTCCTCCTGGAAACTCTCCTCGCACCTAGGACTCCAATCGAACCTCACAGCCTTCTTCGTAAGGTTGGTTAGTGGTTGGGCTATCTTCGAGAAACCCTCGATAAACCTCCGGTAGTACCCTGCTAACCCCAGGAAACTACGAACATCAGCGGCACTTCTTGGCGTATCCCACTTGTTCACTGCCTCGATCTTGCTGGGATCCACCTCAATGCCTCTCGCTATCACAATGTGGCCAAGGAATGCCACACGATCTAGCCAAAACTCGCACTTCGAGAACTTAGCATACAACTTCTCGCGGCGAAGAGTCTCCAGCACAATCCTCAGATGCTCTTTGTGCTGGTCGATGTCTCGGGAATAAACCAGGATGTCGTCGATAAACACAATGACAAACTGGTCTAAGAAGGGATGAATGACCCTATTCATAATGTCCATAAACACGGCCAGGGCATTGCTAAGTCCAAATGGCATCACCACGAACTCATAATGGCCATAGCTGGTACGGAAGGCAGTCTTAGAAATATCTGACTCCCGGATCTTCTGATGATAGCCAGAATGCATGTCAATCTTGGAAAAGACGCTGGCTCCCCTCAACTGGTCGAAGAGATCCTCAATGCAAGGAAGGGGTACTTGTTCTTGACTGTAAGGGTATTCAACTCCCGATAGTCAATGCACATACGCATCGATCCATCTTTCTTCTTCACGAATAGGACGGGCGCTCCCCACGGCGAAACACTCGGCCAAATAAAACTGAGCTTAAGCAACTCCTGAATCTGGGCCTTGAGCTCTTGAAGCTCCTTCGACGCCATACGATAAAGGGGCCTTAGAAACAGGGCCGGCTCTTGGTACTAGATCAATGGTAAACTCCACTTGGCGGTCGGGCGGTCCTCCAGGTAATTCATCAGGAAAGACATTGAGATACTCGCAGACGATAGAGACTCTCTCCGGGGACCTCTCAGAATCGTCCTCGGATACCATAGATACGAGATAGCCTTGACAACTACCTTTGGAAAGGCTCTTCCTAGCTTGCATAAAAGAGATGACTCGAGGCACAGTCCTCGACTTCACCCCATAGAAAATAACAGGCTGATCGGAAACGGAGAAGAGAGTGACTTCGCGCTTCTGGCACCAGATGTCGGCTCAATAGAGAGTGAGCCAGTCCATGCCCAAGATCACATCGAAGTCCCGTATTTCAATAACATAGCAGTCGGCCTACAAAACATGCCCACCAATACTAACCTGAAGACCAGGAACCATAGAATCGGAGATAATAATCTTTCCCGAGGCTAGACTAACCTCGAGAGGGTCACAAGAGCACACATTACTAATGGACAAAGCCTCCAAGAAACGAGAAGAGATAAAGGAATGAGTAGCTCCAGTGTCACATAATGCATAGATAGGCACATCGGATAAGGAAATCATGCCAGACATGGTACCTGCGTTGTTGGCCGCCTCGTCATGAGCAATGGTATAGACTCGAGCCTGGCCTCCTTCCCGCTGCTGGTGTGGTGGTGAGGGCTGCCTGGGCTGCTACTGCTGGTAAGGTAGAGGGGGAAGCTACTGCTGCTGCTGGGCCTGCTGCCTCGGGGGCTCGGGGCAAGCACTGAAGAAATGACCAGGCTTCATGCAGTTGAAGCAAACTCGCTAGGTGTAACGGCACTCTCTCGGATGATAACGACCATAGTTACGACGCGCGAAGGGGCGCTCACCACGACGATCGTTCCCACCGCGCTTTCCCTTCCGGTTATCCCAGAAGGAATCAAACTTTCTCTTGCCCGAACTAGAGCCGGGCGGCACAGAGGAAATGGGCTGAACTAGCTGAGCGGAAGGGGCAGGAACATTGAGAGTCTGGTAACTCTCAAGCTGGGTGGCTCGAATAACGGTCTCATCAAATGAAAGATCTCCCTGGCTAGCAACATGCATACGGAGGGTTTGATTCAGCCCATCCCGGAACTTGTGGGCCTTCTTTAGGTCGGTGTCCACCATATGTGGAGCAAACGCGCTCATGCAGTTGAACTCCCGCTCGTACTCCTCAACGGTACCAGTCCCCTGAGTAAGATCCCAGAAAGCGCGCTCCATCCTCATGCGATAACTTTGAGGATAATACTTCTCCATTATCACCTCCTTCATCTGATTCCAAGTCAAAGCATTAAACTCCGCCTGCCTCAACCTCCAATAGTCGGACCACTATAGGGCGGCATCGCCCTTCAGCATATAGCGGCCACAGACGACCTTCTGGGCGTCGGTGCACTGCAACAAATCGAAATTCTGCTCTAACTGACAGATCCAATCCGCCACTGCTTCGGGCCCTTCGACCCCAGTGAAAGTCGGCGGGGTCAACTGGCGAAACTGAATCACAATGTTGAGATGAGCCCCAGCTGGATTGGGAGCCTGCTGGTGAGGTGGAGATGAGAATGGAGACGAAGGTGGAGATGGAGTAGACTATCGGTTGCGAGCATTACGACGAGCCATAGTTCTACTTTGAAAATGGGTCGAACAGTTTAGCACAATAATAAAAGAAGTCTAGAGTTCAACACTAGAGTTCGCATTTAAAGGTGGATTAGCCCTAACCCCGATTTCATTCCAATAATCAATAATCAACCAATATACAATAATCTCAAAGTCATTCCGGTACTCATACCTGAGCTGGCACAGCCCGACGAGAGCGAGTGGTCTTAACATGAATTCGAAACACATAATCACATAATCAACTTCTTATACTTAAACCAGTCTACAGAAACGCAGACTGGCTCTGATACCAAACTGTAACGCCCCACTTTTATTTGCCAAAATTCAGGATAAATTTTTTGAAATTTATTTTCAAAAAACAATATTTGAGGCGCTACTTATTTTCAAACAATAATCAATGCTAAA